GTTATGTACCTGACCCTAAATTCACAGGTACATACCTGACCCTAATCTCACAGGTACACACCTGACCCTAATCTCACAGGTACACACCTGACCCTATCTTCAAAGGTACACACCTGACCCTAACCTCAAAGTTACGTACCTGACCCTAAATTCACAGGTACATACCTGACCCTAATCTCACAGGTACATACCTGACCCTAAATTCACAGGTACATACCTGACCCTAATCTCACAGGTACATACCTGACCCTAAATTCACAGGTACATACCTGACCCTATCTTCAAAGGTACACACCTGACCCTAATCTCACAGGTACACACCTGACCCTAATCTCACAGGTACACACCTGACCCTAACCTCAAAGTTATGTACCTGACCCTAAATTCACAGGTACATACCNCACACACACACACACACACACACACACACACACACACACACACACACACACACCTCCCCTCTCTGTTACTGAACATCAGCGGCGCGTGTACCCCCCTCCCCCCTGCTCGGATCCGTTCATAACCTCCGCCATTATTCTCCCTCCCCCTCCCTCCTCCTCCCGCCTCCTCCCATGGTGCTGTGTGTGTTTTTTTTCCTCGAGCTCCTGTCGGTTTTCCCGCCCCTGCAGGGTCTCCTTCCTTCCTCCTCGCGCCGTCCGGGGCTCATTTAACGCCTCTCCCTCCCTCTTCCTCCCCGCCTCGCGCTCCGCTCGTGCCAAGCCCAGGTGATTATCCACCCCCCACCTCCTCCTCCTCCTCCCCCCTCCTCGGTTCCAACAGACCGACACATCCCTCCCGGTGCTCCTTCCTCCCCCTCCTCCTCTCTTTCTGTCTCCTTCCCCGCCAGCCATGATCCGTGGCGGGCTAATTCCCAGACGGTCTTCTCCTCCTTCCTCCTCCTCTCCTCCTCCTCCTCCTCCTCACGGGGCTGGTAAGTAGCAGCAGCACGCGCCGTCCATCTTCTCCTCCTCCTCCTCCTCCTGTCGGACTGCATGCTGTGTTCGCGGTATTTATCCGCTTTTATCGGCTCTTTTTCCTCTGATTGACCCCCCTCTCCTCCCCCTCCCCTCCTCCCTCCTCTGAGCCTGAGGGAGGGGGGGAGKTGTTAATGTGTCGCGTGGGAGAGCCGTTCTCCCCTCGCGGCCGGTGGCCACCATGACCTTCTGTCGGAGCTCGCGCCGGCCCGCTTGACCAGACAGGGTAATTAGTTCTGCCTCAGGGGGGCAGGAGGAGGAGGAGGAGGAGGGGGGGACACACATTTCTACACTGCCTGCACACACACACACACACACACACACACACACACACACACACACACACACACACACACACACACACACACACAGCTCTCTGTTGGCTGCATGCTGTTTGTTTCCTTTTACAAACACACACATTTTACACTCATTCACACACAGTCCGGTCCTCATGCACACCACACTGTTGTGTGTGTGTGTGTGTGTGTGTGTGTGTGTGTGTGTGTGTGTGTGTGTGTGTGTGTG